ATTGTTTATGTATTGATATATATATTTACCATATTGCAATGTATACTTGCACATTGTTTATATTTGGAGGTCATATTTTCCTCATTTATTGCACAGTTGTTTATTGTCTCAGTCTTTAAGTTAGATAGGTATTGAGAATTATATAGATCAATAGTCATCTAAGTTTGTCATTTATAATTAGACTAATCAGGTTCTTTAGATACATAGAGATTATATTCAGTATAGATAGATAATCTTCAACCTCTTAAAAGAGCTGTGGAAAATGGCTTTTAATCTAATTCAGAGTTCTGTGGTAGTGAGACACAATCGCTCCTGGCAACACCGATCTATTCCCGAGAGAATGTTGAGCACCAAAGACACTCCACCTGGAGCCTTTCTTCTTGGCAGAACTGGCCTTTGGGTAAAGAAATGCCCATACCTCAACTACTGACAGAGTTACATAATATCCATAAATGGATAAAACAGGACTGTCATATCCTGCCAAGACAGGGTAAGATAGTTTTGAAAAGTTTCTTGCCTTTGAAAATTGTATGTCAGTTACGTCAGGCCTTAGCCAAAGTTGGTTGCTTCAACACTGCAAACGTGACTTTGGGTGTTTGCCCAGGTAGCCAGTTGTCTCTGTGATTTGTTACATGTTCTGGAAGTTGTTTGATTGCACTTCCTAATTACTCAGGTAACATTATTTCCCTTCTCAGATCTTCGATGGGATTGAAGATTATATAAATGTAGTTACTTTCCTCTCATAACTTGGCCAAGTTATTTGTTATACAAGACTTAAGCTAGTTAGAATAGAATATTTGTATTTATTGTATATAATTTCGTAGATTTGTACTTATTGTATATAATTTCGTAGTAGGCTTAGAACTCTCTTTCTTAAACAAAAGGGGGAGATGCTGCGGGAGCTCCTTCTGCTCCTTCAGCCAATAGCCTCTGAGATTCCAGCCCATTGGGCGTGGTCTCTCTCTCTTTAAAAAAGCAGCGGCTGTCCTCCACTCTCTCTATGGCTTCTGGCTCCACTTCCGGCTCCTTGACTACTTTCCTGTTTGCGCGGAGGGGCTGTTGTCTGGGATGGTAATCTGTAAGTTTTTTCCCCTTTGAATAAATAACCATTCTATTAATCATAATTCCAAACTGGTGTGGGATTGTTTGTGACTTACGCCTTCACTTGACACTGGGGCTAAATGGTAAAACTGCATAATAAAGGGCTAACCAAGGTCCCTTTCAGGTGGGCTCATTTGGGTCTATTCTGGAGTCCTCACTCCTGTCCATTCTTTGTCTGTACCTTGTAGGTATTTGATTTTCTGACTTACATACAGACTACTGGAGGCTCGGTACATAACAACTGTAATATAATTCGCTGGTTAGCGTGTGGTTGAAATCCATTTCATGCTACTTGTCATTCATTAAATGTAATAATAGTTGACAAAATCCTAATATCTATTACTCAAGCAAGCCATGGAAAAGAGAGTTTAATTTTAAAGTTTAGATTTTGAGATTGCATGAACTTCTGTGTTTGTTTATTTGTTTGTTTTTGCTGGGCAATATTAGGCTCATATAATAGCTAGTTCAGTTTGGAACAATGACTATAAAGAAAATAACAGTAATACACTAGCCACTGAACTTGTCATTCGGTTAGTCATTGTAACTTTCCTATTTGTGACGTAATGTGAGTGACTTCCATGTATTACTTTTAAAAAAGTCCTGGGTTAGATCAGGAGGATACAAGGTGGAAAAGAAGAAGTCAAACCCTCACTATTTGCTGATGATATGATAGTGTGCATTAGTAAACCAAAAAATTCTACCAGGGAACTTCTACAACCCATAAACACCACTAGTAAAGTAGCAGAATACAAGATTAACTCAAAAAAATCAGTAGCCTTCCCTTATATAGATAACAAATGGGCTGAGAAAGAAATCAGAAAAATATCACCTCACAATAGCCACAAATACCATAAAATATCTTGGGGTAACTCTAACCAAACAAGTAAAAGACCTGTATGACAAGAACTTTAAATCTTTGAAGAAAGAAAATGAAGAAGACACCAGAAAATAGAAAGATCTTCCATGTTCTTGGGTAGGTAGAATTGACATAGTAAAATTAACAATCTTGCCAAAAGCAATCTACAGATTCAATGTAATACCTGTCAAAATCCTGGAAAAATTCTTCACAGACCTCGAAATAACAATATTTAACTTAATATGGAATAACGAAAAACCCAGGATAGCACAATAAAGGAACTTCTGGAGGCATCACAATCCCTGACTTTTAAATCTACTACACAGCTACAGTACTGAAAACAGTGTGGTATTGGCATAAAAACAGACAAGAGTACCAATGAAACCGGATTGAAGACCCGAATATTAATCCACACACCTTCGAACACCTGATTTTTAACAAAGAAGCAAAAAAATCAGTTGGAAAAAAGAAAACACATTTAACAAATGGTGCTGGCATAACTGGATATTAACATGTAGAAGAATGCAACTAGATCCTTATCTATCACCATGTTCAAAACTTAAGTCCAAAGGAATCAAAGACCTCAACATAAAGGCAACTGCACTGAACCTCATAGATGAAAAAGTGAAAAGTTCACTTGAATACATTGGTACAGGAGACCACTTCCTAAATATAACCCCAGCAGCACAGACACTAAGAGCAACAGTGAATAAATGGGATCTCCTAAAATGGAGAAGCTTCTGTGAAGCATAGGACACAGTCAAAGACAAAATGGTTGCCTACAAAATGGGAGAAGATTTTTACCAACCCCATATCTGACAGAGGTCTGATCTCCAAAATATACAAAGAACTCAAGAAACATGACGTCAAAATAGAAAACAATCTAATAAAAAATGGGGTACAGATCTAAATAGAGAACTCTCAACAGAGGAATCTAGAATGGCTAAAAGACACGTAAGGAAAAGGTCAACATCCTTAGTCATCAGAGAAATGCAAATCAAAACAACTCTGAGATTCCATCTTACACCTGTCAGAATGGCCAAGATCAAAAACACCGATGACAACTTACGCTGGAGAGGTTGTGGGGAAAAGGGAACACTCCTGCATTGCTGGTGGGAGTGCAAACTTGTACAGTTGCTTTGGAAATGAGTATAACAATTTCTCAGAAAATTAGGAAACAATCTTCCTCAAGACCCAGCAGTACCACTTTTGGATATATACTGAAAGGATGCTCAATCATACCACAAAGACATGTTCTCAACTATGTTTATAGCTGCACTATTTCATATAGGCAGAACCTGGAAACAACCTAATTCAACCGAAGAATGCATAAAGAAAATTTGGTACATTTACACAATGGAATGCTATACAGCGGTAGAAAATAATGACATCTTGAAATTTGCAGGCAAATGGATGGATCTAGAAAAAAACATGTTGATTGAGGTAACCCAGACACAGAAAGACAAATATAATATGTACTCCCTCATATATAGCTTTTAGACATAAAGCCAAGAAAAACCAGCCTATAATCCACAACCCCAGAGAACCTAGACAACAGAGAAGACCCTAAGAGAGACATACATGGATCTAATCTACATGGGAAATAGAAAAAGACAAGATCTTCTGAGTAAATTGGGAGCATGGGGATCATAGGAGAGGGTTCAATGGGAGGGGAAAGCAAGAAAGGGAGGGGAGTGAAGAAAAATGTATAGCGCAATAAAGACAATAAAAGAGAAAAAAAACAAACAACAAAAAATGAAAAAAAAATGTCCTGAGTCTGGGTATTATTTCTCACTCTTGTTTTAAACAGTGTAAGTATGAAACTCTAAGGACACAGTAAATGTGAGTGTGCACAAACAAAAAGTTATGGCAGCTTCATAGTTAACAGTTTAGTTTGTGCTCAGTGTGTTTTATTCCTTGGTGAATGTGTTTTTATATCTCATCTGTAGCTCTTTCCCGGAGGTGTAAGCTTGCCCTGTTCTCTAGTTGGCTGTGTTATGGAGAATATTGTTAATCTTGAATGAAAATGATACAAGAAACATTTGATGCTCTTAGGTCACCCTCCCTTCAGGGTTTGTTGCTTTACCTTTCCCTGTCCGGCAGTCTATCCGAAACTGTGAACAACCCCTTCATCGGACCAGCACAGATTCTTCCTACCTTTGCCTTGCTATTGCTTCTTCTTTAGTGTGCTGCTGTAATTGGATAGCCATGGACCTTTCTTCTTTTAAGTGTTTACAATAGAGGATGACAGGCATAGCTATACAACAGAAAACACCCTGGAATGCTTATTTAAGAATGAAAATGTCCAACCTCCTTTCTATTTTCTATTCACCTGGTAGATCTGAGTCAGGGCCTATGGATCTGCATTTTAACACTGACAATTTTAAAATAAGATCTTTCTTTGAAAATTACATAGGTTTTATAAATACTGTTATTATAAACAGGACTGGGAGAGAGTCTGTTGATTGAAAGCTCAGGTGTTGGGGGTGTTCTAAGAATTTCCGACCCTTGAGCGATAACGCTTTGAGTTTCTTTTCTCTTCATAATCAGCTGTGGTGGTTCTGAGTCTATAACATATGTTGGGGATTTGCTTGTGCTCATGTGCCAGTGACTTGCTACTACAGAACAAATCAACTAGTATCTATCACAGAACAAATCAGCTGGTAACGATGAGCTATCAATACAGCAAGAGTTGTAAGCAGTATCAGGATTTTTTTCTTTTTTTTTTTTTGGCCATTAACCAAAATAGATTGTCTAGGTTGTTGTGACCTCATCTGCGAAGTGACCCAGTAGTGTTTCCAGATAGTTCACAATACAGTTCTGCACACTCAGGACACTTAAGTCCCAGTGCTACATGCTAAACGCTGGATACACACTTGCCCTTTACAGACAACACCATCATTCCCATTCCTTGGCCAGTAAGTCCAGTCCATGAATCTTGAGGTTTTGTGTATCTTATTGGATAGTTTGGCAGAGTTTTTCCCTGGGAAGATCACTGACATGGATCTTGTTGTGCCCATCTCCTGGGAATCTACTCCTCATTTCACACATCTTTTTCTGCAAAGATGCTTAGCGGCTCTGTGCTCTGATGTGGATCCTTGGGAACTGGTGACCTATTTCTAGGTAACTGGAAACTGACTGTCTTTGTCTTCTCCCTACAAGGAACAAATTAAGAGGGGGGGAAAAAGAAGACATTTTAGTGAACCTTAATATGTATCATTTTCTGTTTTTCCAGTCATAGAATACTGTCCACAGAGCTAAAAGTTCATTTTAACGTATCATAATACTTACTTTCTTAGTTGCCTAGTAATAATGTAAAAATGCTTATTGGAACTGGCTGTTTAATTAAGCCCTGTGTAGAGTGTTGATAAAAATGTAAAGACATCAGTTGGATATCACGCTGTTTTAGACAGAGTCTCACAACTCCATAGTTTAAATATGTCAGTCATATTTAACTATGAAAGAACATATTAAACACAGATCAGTCTACTTCTTTTGACTCTGAGATCACAAAATGTCGGTTGTGTGTTAATCCCAAAGGGACAAGGGAGAAGAGTTGCAGTTGGTGTCATTTGAGGGACTAGATCCTTCCACTTGTCTCTCTTCTCCTTTTATCCCTATAGTTTTATACAGGTTTCTGACCTTCCCCAGGAGAAACTGCTCTTAAGACTCAGTCTAAAGAGCAGGGTTTGAAATGATTGCTCTTCCTTCACTGCTGTCCTCGTTTGTGGTAGATAAGGGTGTAGCTGCACAAAATGGCATTTCACGGCCTGCATCTCAGAACACATCTGCACCTTCCCCTGGGAAGAAGGTGGACCAGGGTTTCCATGTGTTAGGATCAATAAAATAGAAACAACCGCTGCCAGTTAATGACCCACTCGTTCAACTATTTCCCTGTGCTCCACAAACACTGTGAGGTAACTGCTATAATGACTCCCATTGCACCAAAGAATAGATTGTGGCAAATGACACTTTAATAACTCTTTCCAAGAACATGCTATTTGAAAGCGATGAGGCTAGGATTTTAGCCATCTCATTCCAACGGCTGCCCTTCCTAACCTCACTGATGTGGAAAAGTACAGATTACTTTTATTGGAATAGATCTATTTTTTCCAGTCAACAAATTTTAGCAAAATATTATTACAATTATTTAATGTTTGTGTTGATGTCTGAGTGCACACACACACACACACACACACACACATGCATATATATATATATATATATATGCATGTGTGTGCCGTGGGACACATGTGGAAGTCAGAGTACAACTTGTGGGACTCTGTACCCTCTTTCAGCCTTGTGGGTTCTGGGGATGGAACTTGGATCATCAAGTTTGGCAGTAAGTACCTTTACCCTTTGAGATAAGTCTCTGGACCTCCAATCAGTAAAGTCGATAAAACAGCATCTTTATTTTTGCTTTCCATTGTCTACCTGGGCCCATTTCCTTAATTTTTTTAACATCCTGAAATTATTTGTCCTTGAAACCCAAGAAGAAAAAAATGGGTTTCTATGTCAAAGTCAAAGTCAAATGTAAACCTTAACTTTGGTTTCGGAAAGCTTGGGTTCTTAGACACGTTGGTAGAAGCACTGTTCTGAAAAAGGAATACTTTCACAGTATAATAATGGAAAATATCACAAGCAAATTAGGCTTAATGTCTGATATGATTCAAAAATCCAGCTGCAGAAAAATTGGTCCTCTATCTTTGTAAAATTCTGAAAGTTGCTAGGAGGTAAGTGAACTTTCTAAATCAGAAGAATAATGACATGCCATCTTACTAGTTAATTCCCAAGTACATAAGAGACAGAATGAAAGAGGACTATAATAAAAGATATTAATTCCGATTAAGTGATTCTCTGTCAATAGCATATTTTTGTGCCAATCCAGATGTTGATTTTAAGCCAACATGGACTTTTCTTCTTTTAATGCATCCCCACATTTGGCTCAATATTTCAAATTTAACTAACTTCTAAATTCTGGATTCTGTTCTACAGAGTTTATTAGCTGGCAGCTTCAAAGCTGAAAACCATTTTGGTTCAGAAAGACAATACTTTGTAAACATTGGCTAGTTCCCCAAACTGTCATAAAAAAAAACAATAGAAATTGAAATGGGAAACCTAATAGTACTGTAATTCTCAATCCTATGGGTTCTCTTAAGTTCAAAAATTAAAGATTCTAACAGTCACTATACAATTTCAAAATATATAGATGCAAGATAGCCATCAAAATCTAAAGAGTAGCTATTTGGTAATAAGATAATGAAGAATTTTCCTTTTGTATACTCCAAAGTATAAAATATACTTTGCACATTATAAACATATTTTATTTAGAAATTTTGCAAGTATATTTCATAATGCACAAGTTGTATCCTTTTACCTTTTTTATGCAGTGAACAACAGTCAACCAGTTTTGAAAAAGCACCGAATGATAAATGTATGTATATATCCGTATGTTTGTATACACTACATATGAGTATATGCTATAAGTTTATTTGCATCATTAAAAGAAAATAGGTCATCTCTATCTTTCCTTCTTCCTCTTCCCCGAAGATACATGGTCACAGGAACTCAACTGTTGAGTGTGTACTTCCTGTTTCTATATCCTATGTCTGACTTGTCATGGCCACAGGAACTCAACTGTTAAGTGTGTACTTCCTGTTTCTATACCTTATGTCTAGCTAGTTAACAGACTCTCCTATCTCCAACTGTGAAATGCATCTAGAAACCACATCTACTGTGACGATTTTTGGCCCCAAAATAATCACCCTTTGCTTTATAGCGTTCAGTCTGCTCTTCTTATGTTTGTTGTTCTCGTCAGCCTTTTCACAATAGGGCTTCCTACATAACCACTTAAAAATAAAAAGAACAGATTAAACAAGAGAGTCTTTGGCCATGCTAAGCTTCTTCCTTGTGGCTTGCTCACCTGGTTACCTCTCCTTTAATACACCAGTTTTGATCTCCCTAACTGGAGCTTTTACATTGAGCTATTCTCAACACCTGGGGAGTTCTCTCTTAGATACTTTGGGTTCATTCCCTTTCTCCCTTCTCTGGTTTTGTCTACAGTATCAAGCGTTTTAACAGTGGTCATTTTTTTTTATAAACCTTCACTTCTTTTCATTGCCTTATTTTCCTTTGTAGTTGTTAACATAATATATACTTTATGTATTTTATTCGTTGATTAAGGAACACACCCCAAAGGTATTTTTGACGGTTGCTCCCTGCTGTGCAGCAGGGCCCAGAATCCTGCCCTGAAGGTGATACCCCAGGATATATTTGTTGAGTGACGGGTGGGTGTGTAGTAAGAGTAAAGAACCATAGGCAGAAAGGGCCAAAACCAACATTGGCCCTTTATCCCTCATGATGACATTTATCCCTAAGGAGGATGGGGGAGACACAAAAAAAACCTTACCTGTGCTAGACTCTTATAGATAAATACATGGGCGTTTATAAAATCGCTGAGAATCTGTATCTTTAAAAATTTCAAGACAATTTTCAAAACTAGGCTTCCAATAATTAAGGGGACAAGACAGTATTGCATAGCATTTCCCCAAAGACCTTCCATGATGGATCCTGTTGGCTCTCCATCCCCACATTTTCCCATTCCTGCAGTTTTCCCCCAAGTTGTGGTATCTCCATGTTTGTGTCTTTTGTAGTTCTATGGGGTATAACTTCCCCCTTTTCTTTAACTAAATGCAACCATCTTTATGACTTATGGTAACTCTTGTTTCTCTAGTGGAACTTTGTACAAGTGACACACAATTTTCGTTCTGTCTTTTGAAATCAAAGTGCCTTGGCCTCTGCATCCCACACCCAGTGGGAAGTCTCTGTTCTTTGCAATACTTAGAAGAATTCGTGCAGGCCTGTGGTTATTTCTTGATTTGATTTCCTGCCACCAGTAAATGATGACTCATGTATTCTTTCAGCAATACAATCCCGTCCCCCTTCTCCACTGTGATAAGCCAGTCATGAAACCCGCACTCCCTTTTCTTTATTTTCCTCCTTGACTCATACAAGACAGATGTATGGAGACCTTGCCAGAGTCAGAACTTTACTGGGGGCAGGACGGAGGAGTGGGGGGAACAGTCATGCTTCTGCATGGCAGGCTTTGTAGTAGACATTCTTGCTGTAAGGAGATCCTTGACCCTATCCCAAGCCTATCTGTCAATTGTTTCAGCTTCCTCTACTTTTCAGGCTAGCTTCTATTATTTACTTTTTGTAGTTAAGATTCAAATAAATGACAACTTCAGGGAGAAAGAGACATTTTGGTTCGCAGTTATTAGAGGGTTCAAGTCCATAGGTTCTTGTCAAGCGTTGATGGGCAGATCGTCTTTACTGTGAGTTAAAGGGAAATTCCGCTCCCTCAAATTCTAGGGCCTATACCCCTCTACCAAAAGAGCTATTTCCTTATCACTGTCAGAAGGGACAAATGGCTACCTGTGCCTATTAGCATACCAAAGTACATGCTGGCCTCCAGGCTTTCTTAGTACCACAAGTACCTGTGGTTCCACCTTGCCCCTATCCTAAATTTATCCCGCTCATAGATTTATTCCCTTATACTATGTCAGCTCTGCACCCTCTTTTTTTTTTTATCTTTTTTCCTTGGTTCTTTCTCTTTTGCCCCTCTCTCTTGGTCATCTCTTTGTCTTTCTCTCCCGCTTCTATCTCTTTCCTTATGGGCCCGTCTAGTCTGCTGGCCATGTTCAGTCTAATACTTTCTCCCCCTGCTCTGGATTCTCCCAGATATCTCCGGCTGTACCCTCCCTCATATCTACAATAAAACCTTTCCGTCAACCATTCCTTGGAGTGGTTGTGCCCTCAGTTTACACACTAACATGGGTAGAGCATCTTGGGGGCAGGGGTGCTTGATAAGGGACAGCTGTTCACATTACAGCAGGCAGATCAAAGAGATCTTAGAGGACGAGACTAGGAACTTACCCCAGTGACTCAGGTCCTCCAGCTAGGTTCTGTCTTTTAGTTTCCACAACCTCCCTCAATAGTGCCACAATCTAGAATACCCAGTGTACAGCAAGTAGGACAGTCGGGAACATTTCATATTGGGATCAGGCTATTCCTTAAATACCATCTAGTGCATTTGGAAAACATTTTCCATTTGAGTTTTATACCTTTGGGACTATCCCTAAACAGTTTATCCCTAGCCCCTTGAAGACATTTGCCTTCATGACAAACTCTCTCTCTGAAAGGAACTGTGTGCTTAGCTCCTAAAGCAGCTATTCTTCACCCCAAGCCATCCTATTGAGTGCTCAGTTTGCCTGTGTGTCTTCTTCACCATCTAATGGCTTAATTGTGCTAAGTCTTGTGTTAGTACGTGGTTCAGAGTATGATTAATGCTTGAAGAAGGAATAAAGTCTAAGTTTTCTGCTTATTGCCAAACATCTGTTAGAAGGTGCCGTCGGACTTCATTAAAATTTGTTCTTTTGATTCCCTAGACGGACATCAATGGGATGGAAATCGTTTGTACTCTGGTTTTGCTTCCCCCAATGGGTACATCCTGACTTGTCTAGTAGGATGCTTGATGAGTCCTCAGTCGTGCCTATAAATTAACCAGGGACACAGTGAGCATTACCTGCAAACAAAGCTGTGATCAGAAGAAGCTCTCTGGCTGGAGCTACTGCTGCTGTAAGCATCTGCGGCCAGCGTCTTTTCTCCGTTGTCTTGATTTCTGGTGGAAGAACGTGATGCTCCAATGATGTTCGGAAGCCTGCTTCTAGCTTTCCAGGGGTCATCCGCTGCACAGGAGTGAACTCCTGGAGAAACAGAGTAGCGTCGGACGATCATGACATTGCCTGTACAGGAAACACAAAATTCAAGCTGTGAAACATTCTTCCCTTAAAGATGCTCACAATCGAAAAGTGATGTTGACCATACCTAGTTGATGTTAAAAATAAGATACCTATTTGCTGATTTGTGTTACAAGTGTTAGTTGATTATAGCCACACACTGGACACTTTTTCAAGAGATGGGGTAGTGAACATCATGAAAGTTTTGCCGGCATAAAGTTCACAGTGTGTAGTTTATGTTGAGAACATGCCATAAGCAGGCAATGCGGGATGTAGTGCAGATGTTGGCAGATTTTAGGACGAGAAAGCTGTTGAAAGCAAAGGATAAAGACACAAGAAAAATGAGGTCATTTAATTGTGTGGTCAGGGAAAACCCAAGAGCATCGAATTAGTTCATAGCTGATTATTGTAGATTTTTATGGTTAACTATGGTTGTGAGGAGCTCAAAGGCTCAGAGGCTCCAGAAATGTTAATTGTTCTAATTTGATCATTGCACATAATATATAAACATATATTGATATGTCCTGCTATACCCCATAAATATGTACAATTATTATGTGTTAATAAAGCTGAAAATGTGTTTCCTGAAATATAATTAGCATTTACTAATTATACTGACAGTATTAAGCGTTATATCTGTAAAAACGTATAAAATTCATCATAGTATACTCCATAAGTGTATATAATTAAATAGTAAGTAGAAATTTAAATATAAAATAAACAGAGATTTGAATATAAACAGATTATAAAACAAGTCCTTAAAATTAGAATATCATGGAGCATAACTAGATTGTGGTTCTTGAAGGTTTCTTCACTCTAGACTCCAGAAAAATGGGTTCATCCACTGTTCTTGGACACCTTGATAGTCACAGTAATTCAGCTGGTTGATCCTAACTGGCCTATAGTTGCCTGACTTGACTTTATGTGGTCACCATGAGACAGCTCACTGAGAGATAAGAATAAGACAATATGGAAGAAATCAGAAGGGCTTTATACCGTCAAGTGAGTGTTTCTTCCTGATGGCAGGTGGATGGACTTAGTTCCCAAGGGCTTAAAGTTTAGTTTCTGTCCATCAACATCTTCCAATACATTTCTTCCATGAAGGAAACCAGATCTTCCTTGTTTATGCTAAAACTGAGAATCTTGATTCAAAGAACTCTGTTTTAGGGAGTCTTGATTTCTCTGAGTCCCTCTTAGCTCTGTGGCTTGAGGCTGCTCATTTGACCTTTGCTTAGACGTCAGCTGTCACTTATGAGGGCAGCATGGACCTTGTGGGTTGATTTTCATTTTTCAAGGTCCTTTCTACTTGTCGAATCTTTATGTTGCTTGCTATAACTTTGTTATTGGCTAGCACGGAAATGTAAAGGGAAGCCATGTAACGTGTTTATGTTTCGTGAATGCCAGAACTACAGTAATTTATTTAAATTTACCACCTGTCATTGCAGGAAAAGGACAGAAAGGGTTGTGACATTGCAAAAAGTGGAGACTGACCTGGCTTTGCACAGTTTACAAGATCAGAAGATGTGGTTTTATAGATGAGTTTTGGGCAGATATGTGCAAATTTATCTGAAGAGATTAACTGTAAATGCCATTCAGAAGTTACCTTTGCATCTTTCCAACGACTGTAGTGTACGCCATATGTAACTACGTATAACCAGTTTTGGAAATTGAAACGTTAAAGTTTCTGTTTAAGAGAATTAGGAAGCTATTTCTCTATCCTGAGTCCTAGGAAACTGGACAGGGAAAATTATGCTGATGATAGCAAAGTTGAATTTATTTTATTTGGGTCCTGCATTTAACGTAGAACTGATTACCAAATAAATTCTTAGCTCATCTCCCCGAGTCACAAATTATCCTCTTCTTTCTTATCCACACAAGGGAAGACGTGGAACTGATTACCAAATAAATTCTTTGTTCATCTCCCCGAGTCACAAATTATCCTCTTCTTTCTTATCCACACAAGGGAAGAAATATTCACACAGCATCACAGGACCATTAGTCCAGTTTCAAAGATCACTGCCAAATGCAATTTACTTGCCAGTAAAGGATATGAGCAGATTGAAAAGAATCAGAGCCCTGCAGTGCTGGGAGTTCCCTGAGATGTTTCTTTTATCTTCCCCATTGCCAATTATAACACTCACAACAGCCACGAGGTGAGGTTGCACAGAGCAGGAAGGTCCAGGGGGCATTCTCGGAAAGTGCTGTTAGATTTTTACATCCATCAAAACCCATGCAATGTGCTGATGTTTCTACAAACATCTGTAGCCTCATTATGTGATATACATAGTTCATCAGCCAACAGGTATACCCCAGAACTGTAGCTCCGGTCTTGGCCTCAGGCAAAAAAAGAAGAAGCTAACTATGCTCTCGAAATGTCTCCTTTGATTTTCTCACGGTATCTATTATACATCTGGAAGAACTTGGGGTTTCAAGTGAGTCTTTGCAGGTCCTTCGAGTTAGTTCCTTTCCTGAAGAGAGGCATATACTTCTGTTTGATGGTATTTAGTTATTAGGGGGTAGTTTTGAAAGGTTCTGTTTTTAAATGTGTATTGGGGATGTCACTTTCTTAAATGTTCTATGTTTTATATTCTTATCTGTAAAATAAAGGAATTTTTATGGGGTGCACTCCAAGATTACTATGTAATAGATTTCTAGGGTTCAATTGCAAGTTTGAATTTCAAATAATGTTGCCAATGTATCATTAAAACTTCCAATAAAAACATGTATGCAAGTCAAGCAATAATATTTTCTTGGCAACTGTCACTGAAACATTCACACCGATCTTGCTTGTATTGTCTTATTCAGGTCTCACAGAGCCTATGAGATAAGGTCTGCCACTGTCCTTACAGTTCAGGTGAGGCGAGTGTACATGAGCAGATTCATAGAGCCAAGTATTTTTCTGTTGAAAGAAACCTTGGAACATATCTGTAACTGGGTAACTGATTTTTTGCACAATTTGTGTGTGTGTGTGTGTGTGTGTGTGTGTGCATGTGTGTGTTTGTGTATATGTGTGTATGTGTGCATTTACTCCTATGTGTGTACATGTACATATGGAGGCCAAAGAATGATCTTAGGTATTGTCCTTCATATGCTGCCAGCTTTTTCTTTTGTTCCTTTCATCTCTCCTCCCCTTCCCTGCCTTCCTATCTCTCTTCTCCCTCCTTCCTTCCCTCCCTCCTTCCTTCCTTCCCTCCCTCCCTCCCTCTTTCTTTCTTTCTTTCTTTCTTTCTTTCTTTCTTTCTTTCTTTCTTTCTCCCTCTCTCTTTTTCTTTCTGTCTGTGTTTCTTTCTTTCTGACAGTAATCTCTCCTGCCCGAACTCACCAAGTTAGCTCAGCTTGATGGACAACGAACCCCACAGTCCCCACCCCTCACGGTCTCTCCAGTGCTGATTTTACAGGGTGTTCCGCCACATGAGGCTTCCTTCCTTCCTTCCTTCCTTCCTTCCTTCCTTCCTTCCTTCCTT